AAATTGAGGCAAGAAAAAAAGTGTTGTAGAAAATCGAGAGCTCAATGGAGAAAATGTTGCTGAGCTAGTCAGATAGCTTTGAAGCAGGATGGGTTTATTTTTGTTTGGTTTGGGTTTTTTGTCTTATCAAAGTTGCACCAAACCAAGACTGCTGATGATCCTGAGCTACAGAATTCCCTTTCCAGCAGTGTGTGGCTGACCCTGGGAAATTCTAACTTCTGGCTGCAGCTCTTAAGCCAGCTGCTTCTCAGACCTAACAGTGGTGATTCAGCCCCAGTGAGCACTGGAAGGCAGAATTATTAAAGGCGTGCAGGGCATTCTGTGGGGCTGGAAGACATTTTGCCAAGGAAACAGTGGTGCTTTTATTATATGAATTAATGACTAGCTCTGGGTGTGCTTCCAGAGCCAGAGCATATTAGAATGTTAACAAAGAGATGCCATTCCCTTAAACCAGGCAAAGGAGTTAAGCAGGGTGTGGGTGGTTGCTGAACTTGGCTGTGGATACCCATAAAATCAGCAGGTAAAGAGAATTCCTCTGGGTGAAATGGAAATTCAGGAGATTTCTTGTTCAGCCCATAAGGGCAAAATCTATCAGCATTATTTAGGGCTTGCTAAGGGTGTTTTTAAGCAGACATATTTAGAATAATTACTTTGATTTCCTGTGGATTCATATTCTCAAGAAGAATGACATCCCTGGCATTATTCTGGAATAGCTGTCCCACTTTGTCACGTTGCAGTTTATTCTGAAATAATTCCTCCAGGAATTCTTGCTGCTGGGCTCCCTGTGTTGGGATCACACTGGAAACATCCCCACTCCTTCCTTCTGCTCTCTTAGAAACATTTTACAGGGAACTAGAAACAAAAGAGACTTCATGCTCACTGAGATTTTGTACAAGACTTCCTTTATTATAAATTAAGCTGCATGAGAAGATCTATACAAATTCAACAGTGTCCTGCTATAGAAGCAGCAGTTTAAGTACAGCATTGTCCATCAAGGAAGACCTTAGTCTGGAGAGTTCTGGCGTTATTTTCCAAAAACCTTAGTCTGGAGAGTTCTGGTGTTATTGCCCATCTTGGCTGCATTGCCAAATTCATCTCTGTACTACAGTTTTGCTTCTGAGCTAACACGTTACACACAGACCCCCCCCAATTCTAAAAAAACCCAAGTAATAAATAAAGCTGTTTACCAGGTAGGTGCTGTGAGACAACTCCTCACTGAGCAGCAGCAAAGCTGTTACAGGTGCCTGAAGTCTCACTTCCTCACCACAGAGAAAACACTGCAAAAACTTTGGGTTAAAAATGGCTGGTGAACAAACACCAAATCCTGCTGCTTGAATACTGGATAAATTTTTGGATCATTTGGCTAAACTACATCTTTATACCCCTGTATATACCTGTATACAGAGCAGCTTGGAAAGACAGAAACTCTTTTCTGTGGCTGCTTAACAGTGAACACCCAACACCACCCCTTAGAAGACATTCAGCTCCTGTACAGCAATAATAACCTTAGACCAAGACATTTTCTAAGGGCAAATGGCTCCTGAGGCTATGCTGTAGATCAGTGGTTGCTATCAACTCACCACTAATTCCACTGCTTTGACAGAGCCTGTAATAAAATATTAAAACCACAAGCTGAGGGCTCAGGGAGTGGCTGGAAACCACTGGAAGGCACTCGGAATTCATGTGTTGAATTCTCCTGGTTAGCAAATGGCAAGAACATCACTGAGAGTCCAGGACAGGCTGTTTACCTTTCTTTAGGATATCTCACAGAGATACAGGCATTGTCAAAGATATGTTTGTTACTCAGGTAACTGCCATAAGCAGTTTGGTTTTAAGAAAACGTTTTTCACTTTAAACCACAAAATCTCAGTTCTACTCCCATCCTTTAAAGCTGCTTCCTATGATCACCCACCCAGATTTCAATCAAGGCAGAACTGCCCATGGGCAACACTAAAATGTCTTAAGACATTTTTACTGGCTGGCAGCTGATGGAACTGAATTGTCTTATAAACTTTACTTTGTGAAATGTGCGTCTGGGCTCTTACTAACAGGCTAGTATTTGGTGGGCAAAGATTTGATCCTGGAGAGACAAGGAAGTCCAAGGAATGATGTTCTTCACCACACCATACCATGGCAGAGGTGTGGTCCAAAGAAACACTGTGTACCAGCCCCTCCTCTGATGGGACATGTCTGTACCTTGGTTTCCAAGGAAGATCTCCACTCTGAGGCTGACTGAAGCACAGCTTATAATCACAGATAACATTTCCCCCCAACAGGTAGGAGTGGGTTCCCTCACAGCCTAAATGCAGAGACCACATCACTTTAAAGGTGCTCAGGGCAAAATGAGCATATTGCATGTAGGAAAACTATGCCAAGCAATTTGCTTTCAGTGGAATCAAATCCATAAATTACTTGATTCAGCTCCAGCTTCTGTTCAACTAAACCCCATGGGAATACTTCAGGGTCAGTTTGGGCATAAGAGAAAACAGGCATACAAGTACAGAAAACAAAGAACAAAAGATTCAATCCACTTATCAGTTCAGGTTCCCTTTGAGTCTGAGCAGCAGTGCTCGGGGCTGTGTAAAGGCGAGTTTGGGCACGTTTACAAGCCCTTTGCAACTGGTGTTGCAAAGCTTTGTTCTGACATTTTAATAGGGGAGTTGCCTTATTCTGTTCAACAGCCTTTTCTTCTCATGGTCCTCCTGCTCAACCTTATATAAAAGTTATTTTTCTACTCTGAATGTCATTTCCTGAGAGACCTGGGTCATAAATTTGTTTCTGTTCTTTGGACAGTCTAAATTTAGACTCCTGACAGGAAATGGCAGTGAAATTCTAATTTCTCTCTGGCTGGGCTGGGAGCACATTTAGAAGCAACTTCAACCACAACTGCTCCAGCGTGACCTGCCTGCTTTACATGCCAGCAGTCCAAGTAAAGCTGGGTCTGCTGCAGGCACTTTGCAGTAAACCTGGGCAGGTAAAAATGGCAAATCACCTGGCTTTGCAAACAACTTACACAGCTTCTGAGGCAGCCTCCAGGCTCCAGTACTGACCCACCCTCCCTGTACCTCTGCTTGTCACTACCTGCTTGCCATGGCCCTTGAGATTGCTCCTGCTCTCTTTCCTACTGGGGAAAGCCTTCTTGGCTGTACTTGGAAAGCCAGGGATTTTCAGCACTCGTTAGCGTCAGCAATTAGTCCTGCCCTGCTGCTCTCCTGGCAGTCTCCCAGGCACTCATCACCAAGGATGCTGAAGCAAGCACTGATGATCCAAGACTTTTTCCTACTGTCATTACCCACCAGCCTCTTCTCCCCCATTCCTACCTACCCCTTACTTTCTGTTCAGAGACCCTACTTAACTACCTGTGGTAATAAAAGCCTGTGGTAATAAAAGGCAGCACTTTGGGCATAGCTCTGCCACCATCTGTGCTTTCTTATAAACCAGGTGTGGAGACAGCAGTTACAGCTTCCTCTGCCTCTGTGTGTGAAGTGTCCCTCAGTGGTGGAAGGACAGAGAAGAGCAGACATCAATGAGGTGATGAAACAGTTTTTACCAGGAAGAGGGAAGAGAGGACATGTCTATGGAAAGTTTGCTTATTAACTGGATAAGGCAGGATAACAAGCTTCATGCTGTGTGCTGCTTCCAGCAGTGATACAGGATTGAATCTTCTCTCTGATGTGATAGAGAGGATTGATAAAAAGGGACCTGTGGAGTGATGGTAAAAGGATCCCTGACAGGTCTTACCTCACAGAACCACCACTCTCTTGTAAACAGGATTAAGGGAAGCCCTAGTGTAAAACTTTGCAGGGAATCCTAGTGTGAGAAAATGGTGGGAAAGGCCCCCTAGCACTGGAGGCCAGGCTTCTGGGACTAGCATAAAGCAATTATGCACTGGGGCCCTGGTTTGGACCCCACACTCAGGAGGGTAGGGATCTCCTGAGTCCTCTCCTTCAGCAAAGCCACCTTGCTCAGCTCTCCTCCTTTGCACTCCCAGCTCAGCAAATTACAGTCTACTAGTGCAGGTCCTCAGAGGAGCAGTCTTTAAAATGATTGAAGAGAATGTATAAAGTAGCTGTTGCCTGCATATGTGGAACAGAAGGGATGCAACATGGATCATGAGGCAGCTGCAAGCAGCACTGCCCAGATCTACTACATGTGCATCTTTTTTATCCTTTCCTTCCCTGCTGGCCTTGGCCCAATTAAAACCATGTGCAGAGAGTCACACTCTCAAATGGAGGGTGATCACTCCTGCTTCCAGACTTCTGAGATTGGCTTCATTACAGGATAATTTTGGAGAACTGCTTCTTTTACGAAAGCAAAACTTACAGCAGTCATAGAATCAGAACAGTTTAGGCTGGAAGGGACCTTCAAAGATGATATAGTTCAAGGCCTGCTTTTCCTTTCTCTCTAGGCTGTTCTCACACTTTAGTGCCCTGAGGTAACAAAAACAAACAACCCAAAATGTCAGAACCCAATAGTGGTGTTTCTTTTATCTAAGATAATAAAAGTTCCTGTTCATTGATCCATACAAAATGGGCAGGAATATAAACCACTAGCCATGTTACCATGGAAGACTCAAATGAAATGGTCTGAAGACACAGACCCTGCTCTGCTACATCCTCCCACAGGAGAAAAAAATGTGCAGGAGTATCTTTGAAGGACAGGACAAGCCATATAAGTTACTACTGCAAGTCCAGTCAAGAAGGCTTTTTCTTCTTCTTCTTTTTTTTTTTTTAACTACTGTTCTGAAGCTGTGCTTTATTTAAGGACCTCCATCCAGTCCAGACCTTGTGCATGACCCTCCTCCTCTCCACACCAGCATGTAGACTGATGTTGCACTTCCCATTGGTGAAAGAGCTCCTGCTGTCTGCAAGCAGACAGGCTCCTTTGATCCCAAGATCCTGTCTCTGATTCCCCCACCCTCTTATCTGCCCCTTCTGAAGGAAATGAAGTATTTGGCCACCATCACACCCCCACCCCCATGTGCATTGCAGGCATCTGAATAAATTACTTATATTTATTGCTCACCACTGCTGTAGCATGACTGAGGCACAATAGAAAAAATATATTCTTAGCTGCATAAAACCAAGCACAGCAGTGGAACAGAAACCTACTTCACCACCACATCTTCCAGTTTCTCCCTATTCTCCCCCCCAAGCCTCTTCCTTTCAGCAGGAACCATGGCCCAGGACTGGTTCAGCTCCAGACAAGAAGCTCTACTGGCAAAGTCAGTTGTCTCCAGGAGGCTTCAGAAAGCTGCCCTCTGGACTTGTGCTTAGAGTTAGGCTTTGGTTAAAGGGGTTCCTTACGGATCCCATTGGTGTGTGCAAGGGGAATGTGCACTGTGTACTCATTTATCAGTGCAGACATGTTCCTGAGCATCTCGTGGAACGTGTCCACCGTCTTCCTGTAAATGTCCCTGCGCAGCACAAAGGGCCGGAAAAGGTTGAGAGGCTCAGCCCTCTGAAATATGATGGGAAAACCCAGCTCTGCTGGTACCTTCCCATTGCCAATAAAGAAGTGATAAAGCTTCTTTTCATGCAAACATTTCTCTAGTAATTTCAGCATGTCCTGTAGGCGGGCCTCCAGCTTTTCTGGGGCCCAGTCCTGGCTGGGACGTGCCTGCAGGAGATGCAGCAGCACTGTTTTCAGGTGGTAGTTGGTGAGCCCACTGGGACCCGTGAGGCTGCACTGCTTCCCATGGAGGAAGGAGAGGATCTGAAGGCAGCTGACGTGGCAGGCATTGGCAGGCAGTGTTTTGGAGACCAGCTGGATGAACCTCCTCTCATACACTGCAAAGGTGAGAAACCAGTGGGTGCTGGAGGGAACATCTGCTGCCAGGCTGCTCCGAGGGAAGTGGGAGATGAAGTAAACGTCAGAGTTCTCATACTGCACCACAGGGGTGAGGTTGAAGGCAATCGATTTCCCCGATTTAAATTTTATCTTCAGGGCTCCTGGCGAGTCCAGGAGGCTGAAGGAAAGGTCAAATTCATATTTGTGGGAGATTCTGTTCCAGGCCTTGGTGACAGCAATCTGGAACCACTTCATGACTTGGTCAGCATCCAGATATTGAGTATTTTTGAAGCACAGGAGGTCTTCCATCTCACTGCTGGGCTTGGTACTACTGACCTGGCTATGGAGGAGGCACAGCATATCTTCCCCTAGTTTTGTCTTGTCACAGATGCAACCTGTCACATCCTCATCTGCCCTGCACACCTTGATAGTGCCATAACCTTGTTCATCTGGGGGAAAAGAGTCACCAGAGCACCAGGTCTGGCAGCGAAAGCAGTAAGGCTCTGGGGGAGCAAAAGGCACTATCAGATCACAGACGAAGGGTTTGCGCACTCTCCAGTTCTCATACATGCTCCCCACACCCATGCAATCCTCCACTTCCATGTCAGCATCCCGGTTACAGACGCTCCTCAAGGCCTCCAGCAGGTCATCTGCAAAGCCTTCCACCATCTCCCGCATCCTGGCCATGTCTCCGGTGGTACCCAGGATACGCTTCTCATAGAAGCTGGCCAGGACAGCCTTGTCGGGCAAGGCCACTCCTTTAAATGCTTTCCCCAGCACTGCCATGTCATCCTCTTCTCCTCCTACATCCTGCCAATTCCCTTCCTGGAAATCCTGCCTCCAGAGCTCGATCAGCAGGAAGATGACCATGGAGAGGGCAGTCCACATATCCCATCGGACCCTTCCCTCTTTGCTTTCCTCCACTACCACTGCAGCCTCCTCCAGAGCCTTCTGTGTGGCTTCCTGGTCTGCGATTTCCTGCTCCAAGCGCAGCTGCTCCAGCCGCAGGCTCTCCTCCCGCTCCTTCATCTTCTGGACGATTTCCTCTGTGTTCTCAGGGACCGTGCCATTCTCCTTAGGGAAGAAGAGCGGGTGGTTGACAATAGCTGTGATCACCAGTAGGCACACCCGGAAGAGTCCCACAGGCATGGCAGTTCCTTCCCTGGAAGAGAAAGAAAGGTGAAATGACCCATGATTTGGAATATATTCCCTCAAGTACAAAAATGAAAGAAACTCCTCACTGCAACAAGAACTTTGATATGCTTTCCAGCCCTGGAAAAAATGCTGGAATCTAGAAACCACTAAGTGAACACCCATTTCTGCAAGTTATCAACCAACTTCCCCAAGAGGCTTTATCAGCTGACGGTGAGGATGAAAGTGGCTCTTATCAAAGGAACTTCAAAAAACAGAACTCTGAAGGCACTTCCTGCTGTCAACCCACTATGATGCTGTTGGGCAGTATGGGAGGGCACGTCCTTCCTTTGCCTCTCCTTTAAAATTCCCTGGACAGAAAAGGAAAGAAATAAGCAGGCAGAACCTCCCCAGCTGTAAAAAGCAGGACTGGAAATGAGCACTGCTTTTCCTCAACATAAAGTTAATATTTCAGATGTGGCAGTGGCATAGGCAGGTCTGTCCTGGCCACGTTCCATGTTAAGGATGTCTGGGAACCCACAGAGCCTGCCTGCATCAGGGCAACCTTTACTGCCCTGCTGGTGAGCTGCACCTGGGTGGGAACAAGCCTGCACAGTTTTGTGCTTCATAGCAGGCAAAGCTCCTCCTGCCTTTCAGCACCATCAGGATCAGGCTGTGGCAAACCCTGCTGGCCCCCAGGATGGCTCATGATGGCAGTTCCAGAAAAAGGGCACAGACAGAGACTCTACTAAAATGGGAACGGTTTCCTTCAGCCCAGTGGTTCTAAAAGCATCAGGCTGCTTATCTTTGGTGATTACTACATTTTGATTCCTTGTATTTGGTGATTCTGACCTGTGGAGGACATTAGTAAACACCATGGCTTTGATCCATGGGGCTCGCAATGAAAGGATTTAATTCCCAACTTTCTGGGACATGGTCCTATTGCCAAGGCCTCCTAGAGGGCTGGGCCAGATGGTGCTCAGGCTAAAGCCTGGGCTGTCTCCTCCAGCTGGCATTTTTGTTTCTGGAGGGCTGGCATCCCTATCAAGAGCCCAAGTGCCTGCTCAGGGCAGTACAATCTGAAGTTGTCACCCTTTGCTGTGATGTTGGAAGCTCACCAGTCCCCCTTTCTAGCAAAATCACTTCTCAGTCCTAGCACAGGAAGATCAGAAGGACAAGATGGACAAGCAGGGATATTTCTTCTACCAGCTGAGAAATTTTAGGACAGCTGCTTAATGCCTCAAAAGTGCTTGAGAGAGAAGGGTTTCTGTTACAGAAATAAAGTCTACCAATAACATAGTTCATCAATCAGACCAGAAATAGCAATCTAAGCAATGCTGCTGTGGGAATGAAGCTGTTTCACAGACAGCCAAGAGATGGTGAGGCACTCTGTGTGCTCCAGGGGCTTGGAGCTGTAATTCCCACCCCCTGGCATGGCTCCTTCCTGGCTTGAACCCAGCATGTTTTGGTGCCACAGCAATCCTGCTGTCCCAGCATCTGGGCAAGAAGGAAAATATCTCTGGCAATCTCATTTATGCCTCCACAGGGCACACAATAAAGACAGATCCACCCCAGTGGACCTTGTTATTGTAACTGCACAACAAACCTCTGGTTTTGATTGCAGGAACCTGGATTTCCTCAATGTGAGCAGTTACTGTACATGGGAACTGTATCCTTCAGCACACAATTATCTTTGCTTATGAGAGGCTGGGACTGGAATAACAAGGGAAGGGAACAGGATTGAGATGCATTGTCCAAGCAGCAAGAAAATTCACACGGTGCTCAGGATAATGCTCCATGCCCCTCCCTGTGTAACATTTACCAGCCACCCTTTTATTTTAGATCCCATGCACTTGCATAGATGAATGTTCTTATGCAGACATTGCTCTGGAAATAGTTTGTGGCCCTATCTTGTCCTTTTTTACATTTACATTAACTCTTTAATTCATCAGGCAATGAATTAAAACTGAATTAATGCCCAAATCTGGGTGTTCCAGTTATTCTGTGAGCTCCACGCCTGGCCACATTATAAAAATAAACTGGGGTCGCCCTGCTTTGCAAAGGGCTTTATCAGTTTGCTTGGGGCAGGGCAGGAAGTGCTGGTGAGTTCCTTTCCTGAGTACTACCCTCTTGCAGACCACGTGTGCCTTCCAAGCTTAAAAATAACATGGCCAGGGGCCAGGTGCCTCCTTCTTGCAGTCTTGACCAGGATGACATCACTGCTCTGCTCTGCTCGATCACTGTCCCTGCAGATGAAATGTTCTACTGTTACCACATTACTTCTGAGGTGTGTAAGGCTGAAAGAAGTCAGCTTCCTCAGGATCTTCTTTCTCACGCCCAGCTGCCCATGGGCACACTGCTGCCACAGGTCACCTGTCCCAAAGCTCTGCCAGCAGCAGGGGTTAGGCCAGACACCCCCAGGGCCATCAGTGGCTGGCTCAGCTGAATTCACTGTGGGTCACACTGACATTCTGGGATACCCCAGCTCATTTTGCAGCAACCTCTTCCTTCAGCAAGCACTACAGGCATCAGCCTCTGGAAACTGGAAGTGACAAGATCTTCAGATCACATTGATTTGCAAGAGGCATGTCTGTTTTCAGCCCAGAGTAAGTTCTGCTGGTCAAAACTGCCCTTTTGCTACTGCAGGTACTCACTCCAGAAAATGAAGCCAAACATTAACCTAAGGTTTAAGGTTAATGCTGCTCAGTGGCCAAAGCCAGTGGAGCCTGCCCTTGGCAGCAGCCAGGGTGGCACAGGCAGAGCATTCCCACACCTCTCAGACACAGCTTTCCTGGCTAATATGAAAGGCTCAATAATACAGGTGAAACCAGTAGTGCTGCCTGCTACGGCGCTCCAGCACTCCCCATAACAAAGGCTGCTCTTTTCCCTTGCTTTTAACTTCAGCCCAAGCTATTTAAGTCTGATAAAAATATTTATGCCTGCTCAGGCTGAGACAGCTTTTGTGTGGGGAAGAGGGAGAGAGTCCAAACCTTTCCAAGCTTGAGACTAAAAAAGAGAAATGACAATTTTTCAATCTACGCATCAAATTTAGCAATGTTTCAAATATGGGGGGAGGGAGGAAAGAAAGGTATTCATAAGTTTTAAAATAGCAAGTTCTCAAAGCAATCTGCAACCTTTTCTGAATTTCTTACCCTGACATTTTTTTCCCATTTAGAGTATAAATAACATCTGGACTCAGTAACAGGCTTACATCCTACCTACCTTCTGCAGACCCTCTTGTGGCAGTCCTGGGGCTCCAAAAGCCCCCAGAAGGTGCTGTGGTCACAGGTAGGCCACTCCTGCCAGTAGTCAAAGCAGCCCTTGCTCTGCTCCCTGGGCCAGGTGAGAATGCAGAGACCCCTCTTTTCTCATGTGGGCACAAAGCAGGGAAAGGTTCAGGAGAACCAAAGAAAGCTGCCTGGGAAATGAAGAAGGGCCAGGGTATGTGAAACCTCACTGTCTTGATGTGAAGCTGTCTCTGCTCACTGCCTAGCGTGTGATGCTACCTGTTCCAACCTGCCTCTGGCACTAGAATTCGTTTCCTTCTGAGCTTTTCTGTGGCACTCACTGCTGTAGTGACTAGGGGCTTCACCAAGGTTTGGGTTAATGACCACTCTGCACAGCCCTGGGAAGTGAGGGGGCAGACACCATCCCACCCTCCAGCTGGCAGTGAGGTTTCAGAGAGATAAAAGCAGCTGATCAGTCTGTTGCCTGATTACAAACAATCAGCTGCATCCTACAGCACTTGGCATGTTCAACGGGTCCACCAAGAGCACCCACAGCCCTCCACCCTCAGCTCCCAGGCAGGTTAGGTCTCATCCTTTCAAACCTGAAGCTGCCTCTGTGGCTGGAGGATCCTGACCAGCTCCAGAGCAGGTCCTGGATGATGCAGGAAGCCCCAAGAGAGGAAAGGGAATGATAATGCTGCTGTCATGCAGTTCAGGTTGGTGCCTTGAAGCCACAAGAAGGAGGCCAGCTCTCACCCCAGCTGATCTGAGAGCCCTTTGCTGCACAATTTACTGATGTTTGGCTTGCCTGGAGCACAGTTCCAGGTAGCACAGCATAAGGAAAGGGAAGCAGCACAGGAAGGAGCCTTCACAGAGTCAGGCAGCAGCAGCTGCACCTTCAGCTTCTCCTCCTCACCTGGGAGCATCAGAGAGCTCCTACAGGGTTTGTGTGGAGCAGCCTGAAGCAGCTGCTGCCCTGTGGCAATGTGTGCCCCTTCCCAAGCCACTCTGTAACAGATTGCTCTGAGGGGCAGCAAAGTCCTTCATGGGGATGATGATGATGCTCAAAGTCATAACAATGTCCTGTCCCTTCCAGCTACATGTGCTTAGTTTCTGATGACCCTAAGCCTTCCTCACACCCTTTTCCACAGCAGCTTCAGAACCTCCTGCTCAGCCTGGCAAAGGAAAGAAAGAGATGGCAGCTTGCAGCTTGCCTCTGCAGGCTGCTCATGTGCTCTGAGCCCAGATAACCACCTTCTCTAAGACAAGGGAAAGTATTTCCCTTTCATTAACAGTGAACTTTCTTTACTCAGGAGTTCCTCATGCAGCTTTATTTTTTCAGCCATTTTATTCCTGTAAATTTTGAATCACGGTAAGCAAAACATGCTCTGGCTGGTGTTCAGCAATAAACCAGGCAGGAGTGAGCTGAAGCTTTGATTCTTAAATTGGAAAAAACCAAGTCAAGCCACTGACTGCAGTTCAATATTACACTGGAACACGCCAAGACATCACTTATAACACACTCAATTGCTTCCTGCAATCTGGCCAACACAAAAGGCAATGAATAGGTGGCTGCTACATTGTGTTTTGCTTTGGTAGGCTGCAAAAAAAGAGGCATTTCAAGTAGATGATAGAAAATACAGCTGGTTGGGAGCCTTTTTTCATTGAAAGCTGCCAAATTTTTGAAACCAGAACTTTCATGGGAACAAATATGATTTCTGACTCTCTTATTGGGAAGGTCCTTGAGGTTTGGAAAGGACTCTGCTACTTGTTTTGACTGCAGAGACTAACAGGTCAAACCAGG